TACCACAGGCAGCACTGTTACTGCAATCTCATTAGTCAATTTGTACCACAGGCAGCACTGTTACTGCTATCTCATTTGTCAATTGATACCACAGGCAGCACTGTTACTGCAATCTCATTAGTCAATTTGTACCACAGGCAGCACTGTTACTGCTATCTCATTAGTCAATTGGTACCACAGGCAGCGCTGTTATTGCAATCTCATTAGTCAATTGGCACCACAGGCAGCACTGTTACTGCAATCTCATTAGTCAATTTGTACCTCAGGCAGCACTGTGATTGCAATCTCATTAGTCAATTGGTACCACAGGCAGCACTGTTACTGCAATCTCATTAGTCAATTTGTACCACAGGCAGCACTGTTACTGCTATCTCATTAGTCAATTGGTACCACAGGCAGCGCTGTTATTGCAATCTCATTAGTCAATTGGCACCACAGGCAGCACTGTTACTGCAATCTCATTAGTCAATTTGTACCTCAGGCAGCACTGTGATTGCAATCTCATTAGTCAATTGGTACCACAGGCAGCACTGTTACTGCAATCTCATTAGTCAATCGGTATTGAGTTAAGTATTATTCCCAGATCTTTCCAAATGTAAACAAAATCAAAGATTAATTTATCCTATTTTTAGAAATGTTTAATCAATCTATGATGTATTTATTTATAGGAAGTTAAACTAAGTAGTCCTGATTACAAGGAAATGAGTAAAGATGAAGCAATTCAAGACTTTTTGTATCGAATTAAACATTATCAGGATGCTTATGAACCATTGGATGTTGACTTGGATAGGTAAGCCTTTATCAATGCCAGTTTTGTATGCCAAACATAAAGGGAAGTCCTGGCAAAGAACATAATGCTCCCAGATGAAAGTGCTCCACAAATTTACAGTTTTTCTAGGTATTCAACTTTTCATCAGTATTATATAGATACTCTCAAGATACACAGACCTGAATATTTTTTTTATTGAAATCTGGTTATTAATTAACTAATTTGTAGAATGATAAACCATTTGTCAGCTTGTCCTCTGAAAATTGGTTAATAAATTGTCATTATTTATCTCAAAAAGCAAATGACCATGATAAGACCATAGCATGAATTGTTTGCAAACTATGATCTTGTATATTGTTTGATTTACAGAAATAAGTCCTTTATCAAAGTAATGAATTGTGGTGATAGATTCCTTGTGAATAAAGTTGACGGTGAGTCTTGGTAGTCACTTACATATTCACTACATGCAATTCAGGTAGACCTATTCTGGATTTTTTTTATTTTTGTGACCATACCTCTAATTTTCTAAGTGAATATTTTGGGTAAAAATAGATATTTTTGACTTGCTCTAGAAATTGACTTGCCCAATCACTTCAGTATTTTATATGTTGCTTTGGTGTATATTTACTCCTCTCAGATTTATTGATTTAGTGGCAATGACTTAAATTCTCTAATTTTATAGCATATTTCTGTTATTTTTGGTAAAAAATAACTTCTTATTGAAAGCGACTAGCGAGATTGCTTTGATATTGTGATGAAAACTTCCATTCTCTAATTTTAGTGGATACATTGTGTCATTTTTTGTAAAAAAAAAAATTACTTAAAAACCGTATTTCTTTTTGAGAACCTTGTGTGAACTATTGTCAGCAATGTTTGAAGTTTTCTTTGAATAAAGTATAATGGATTTATACAATAGCAATTTATTGGAGTGGAGCGTAGATAACTAAACTCTCAATCCTCTCTGTTCAATTAATAACTAAATAAATAAAAACTATACATGTTTGAATCTTTTTCTACATTCAGGCCATATACAAAGTCGTATTGTCTATTACCTTATGAATATTCATATTATGTCCAGAACTATTTATTTGACAAGAGTAAGTACAGCTTGTTTTCTTCTGATATTGCAAGTACATCCATTGTTACGATCTTACATTATTTTTTAACATTGTTCACAAACTCGCACAATGTTGACAGCTTACAATACCATGATACTAGTACAAAGTAAAAACAATATATAACAAAAATCAGTTAGAGGGTGACTCAGTACACACTTTACAATGTACATGTATATAGCATGATACATGTATTAAGTATTAACATGGGGCTTTTTAGAGGGGATGGGCGTTGAGCTGAATGTGACCCTGAAAATAGAAATGTCTCAAAATTGGAGCTGGATGTTTAGCCCAGCATGTGTGGTAAGTCAAATGACTATGGTAATAACTGATTCAGTACTGCAAATAAGAGGGATAAAACCAAAGTGTTATAAACTTCAATCAGGTTTTACATACATGTATAAATAATTGTGTATGGTTTTATTACAGCATGGCGAGAGTGAATTAAACTTAAAAGGAAAAATTGGTGGTGATTCTGATCTCTCAGAAAATGGAAGACAGTATGCTAATGCACTGGCCAAGTACTTGGACAGTGAAAATTTACCAGACCTTAAGGTGTGGACAAGTCAGTTGAAGAGAACCATACAGACTGCAGCTGGTGTACATGCACCTCTTGAACAATGGAAAGCACTTAATGAAATAGATGCAGTGAGTATTGGGCAATGTATGATAGTGGAGTATTGTTTGTGACACTGTCTCTATGATGGGTAGTGTGTAGTTGT